TAAAAAAAACACGTTATTTTTAATATAGCAATCTTCAGTATGAGTTCCTTTGCAAAACATTAGGACAAAAATGTTGTTTTTCACTTTTTATTACAAACGTGTAAAATGTGTTGGTTAAAGTATTTTGTAATAGTGTAGGGCTATTTCTTTACAGAGTCTGACTTTTAAAAGGTCAAATAAGATTTTTATTAGAAGTTGACTTTATCCAGTTTCTATCACTTGGTTATAACATTCATTTTTTGTAATTTTTTTTATACAGAAGCAAGACATTGGGCCGGACGGATGCCATTACAGCTTCCCAGCAGATGTGCTTTCTTTTATCAGGCATTCCTAGAACACTCGCCCTGTTTACTTCAAAAAAACGTCCCGTCTTCCTCGAAGTTGAGGTCCAGCCCTCTTCCGGAATACCGCCGCAAACGGTGCAAATCCACCTCATTTGACATGCCCAACCTTGCCGTTTCTGTTTACTTTCGACCAACACAACGACGCCGCCACACACACGACAAACACACGACTTGTTGACACTTTCTAACAACTGTCCACTGTGCCAAAGCCTGTACCCAGTAGCTACGGTTTCTTCCTCGCGATCACTGTCTGAAGACTCCGAGGGCTGTTCTAAGTCCTTCAGTATCTTACGAGCGCTCGCTCCAGGTAGATTCTCTCTCTTGTCATCCGACTCAACAAATACCGGTTTTCCCCAACCGCCGCGCATACTCTCTTTCAAAATTTTCTTTCTTTCCTCTGGAAATGGGTTTTTAACACAAACTTTTCTCTTCCCCATAGCGTACTCGACTTCTTCACTGCTTAGCTGATGTAAGACTTATGACCTATTACCGCACACGTAATCGGCTTATAACTCATTACCTATGCTCCGCCCCCCTCATGGCAACGGCCCTTAGCAACAGAGGCGTGGCTTAGTTGTCAGCCTGACTGGGGCGCGTGCTGGTTGAAAAACTCATCAAAAGACACATTTTGCGGTGCAAATTCAAAATAATTATTACAGCCAACGTTAGATACTTTTTTGATTAATAGAAACACACAAAAAACTCAAAACATGATTTTAAGCGTAGTTAACCCTATCTGTCCCCTTAAGAAAGAGGTGATTATAATTCCTAATGAATCCTGTTCTCCTTATATTTTAAAGGAAATTTTTCCCTTTACCTTGGAGTGCACTGTAGTCTGTTCATTTAATTGTAGAGTCTCCTATCAAAATTTTTGAAAGAAAAGTGTTTGAAATGATGAAAAGTAAATTCAGGAAGGAAGGCAATTCTTTGACCAAACTAAAAATTCTTCAAACATGCATTTTGTCAAAATCTGACATGCTACTTTGAGTCTCATGTCTATGTAGTACATACTTAGCAATAACTGGAATGGTTAGGGCTTCAGCCACTGCTTTAATGAAATGATTCTGGTTTTCATGGCGTGGTCTTTGTTCCTTTGTTCGACCGTGAACTGCTAGTGCTGCCACTCCTGTGCTTTCTATCAGTTTGGCCAGTTTCACAGTTTCTTCAACCTGTGTGCAATATAAGTGAACACAAGTCATTATTTTTAATATTCAAAGACATCATATCAAAGTAACCATATCTTCAACCTACTTACAGTAAGTGTACAAGATGACTATTTGAACATCTCAAATTTTCAAGAGTTTAAATTTCTTGAGCCAACATACAATGAAGGTTTAAAAGATAAACCCTAGCATATCTACCAGATAAGTTTATAACATCTCACTTTTGTTCTGGGTTTAGACTGAGCCGGAAGGTCCCCTCTGTTCAAAGGAACTCAGTTGAAATTTGGTTAAAAGTGGACTTGGACCCAGAATAAATAAATACTGTAGTATATCTTAATCAAGGAAAGTGTACTTGCTTCACAGAAAGTGAGAAATGACTATTTTAGTGGACTTCTAAAGATTCATCCAAAATCAAAATATATTTCTGGTCTTTGATCTACTACCAATTTTTTTAACCAATTACCTCGTTATATGGGTTCCAGATAATTTATCAAAATTTGAATTAAAACAAGGGCATAACCATACTAAGGCCAACACTTAAGACTTTGGATTTATAACCTACTTGGACTTTTATTTAACACTAACTGGTTTTCATAATGAATTCAAGTACTCACTGTGGGGAGAATCCTGATTTTGCAAGTCACTGGTATGGAAAGTCCATTCACTAAGGTTGTAAGGATCTGAAATTATAAGAATAGTGTCGGTCATTGGTCAATCAGTCTGGTCACTATAGGATCCAGGACATTTATCGAGTCCCAGGGGGCGGGGGGTGGTCTAGAAAATGTTCTCATCAATATGGTGATAACTGAGGCATTTTGTGAATTTAACCTTTAGATGTGGCAGCATATTGTGACGCGAGCCCTCCCCTCGGGAGTCCCGTGGGCACGTTAATTTAATCGTGGGNAATTTTTCTGGCAATTTAACAGTTTTTTGTGAAAATTTAATTTTTCACTTATTTGCATCTTTATTTTCTGTTCTTTGTCTGTACATTTGACAGCTTTGCTGCCTTGTTTTTTTTACGTGCTGGGGCAACACATTCATTATTAGCACCAAAATACTTGTGGAGGGAAGACTACGACAGGGGTAATCCTGACTGCGACGTCTTAGCATTTGACTGCATCTTGTATAATCCATGTGCATTGTGACATCATTCAATTATATTTTTAATGATAAAGACATCATATAGCTTATAAAAATGTTAAGAAAATTACAATTACAGATTATAGAAGAATCAAAAGTTAAACTGTTAGACCAGATTGTTGTTCTGAACTTGAATGACCACACATTGTTCATTATTTGTCTTGTAAATGCCACGTTTGATACTTTGTATTAGAAGCTTCATAACATGGTGAAGGGTCTTTGTGCTAGGCTTGCCGGGAAAATGGTGAAAATTATTACATGACTATGTGAGAATGACCGACCCATGAGAAAATTATAATGTGACCACATGGGAGTGACTGACCTAATTGAAAATGATAAAATGTAAGCAGTCAATACAAAACACATGTGTTTTATGAATGTTGAAACGCGCGCCTTCTTCGGCGCGACCGAGCCCGGAGTGGCAGCGCCATTTGATTTCAGGGTCGGGGCGGATGTTGCGCTCCCGTTGGAAAGTATATCCCAAGCTAATTACAAGAGTGGATTTTGGTACAAACATTTTATTGAAAACAAAAATAAAAAGATAATGTTACAATGAATTAAAGTTATGCAAACACTTGAATACTGAGTCTCTGATATTGGCATTTCTATTAGTCTTTGACCATTGTTCTGGCCACAAAGTTCTCAATGTTTCTCTGAGCTCTTTCATTGTGAAGATTTAAGTCACTTTTCATTCCTCAAAGTTCGGGTAGCATTTCACCGAGCTCACTTGCTTTTCCAAGTACACTTAAATTACCACTAAGTTTAATAGTAAACTACGACAGAATTTCACTTTTATCTAAAAGCAGAAAACAACAACAAGTACAATTTTTTTTAAAAATCAAAAAATTGAAACTTACATGTTCTCATTAAAACTCCTAGACGTTCAGATTCTGCCTTCTGCAGCCGATGCAAGCAGTCTGCCACGACACTTTGATTAGCAGGAACCTCCAGCACGCACTGTCTCTTTGACGTGTGGCTCTGAGGACTCGTGCTTCTTAATGCCATCTAATCGTAGTGAGGTTTTGCCTTGAACGAAAGGTGAAAAATCTCCTTGACAGCATGCTTTGCACGCTGAGCTATGCTGTCCAAAACAAGCCATGCGCGCCCTGATTGCCGTGACGGTAGAAATCCTCTTCAGCATTTATCTGTTTAATTTCGTATAATTTCTTTTTCTTAGACATTTCTGGCTCAGCTGTTTGTTAGGGTAACCTTTATCTGGGCTTTGCACAGTCAAAATATTTCAGAAACTTCTTCATGACGAAAGTTGGATAGAGAAACACGCGGTTGATAGAAGCGACATTGGTTACTTTGGTTACAAGCCCAGTAACATATTTTGTATAAATGAAGTCTGTATTGTCTTTAATATGTCTTACCTGTTCTTAACATGCTATGCTTCTTCCTTCTCTTTGGGATTTGGGGTTCATTTTCTTCCTGTCTTTTGGTATGACTTGTCCACATGTAGTTTGTGTTAGTAGTGGGGATGGGAAGCAGGGACGGGAATAATGGAGGATTTGTAAATAGTATAATATTTACCTGTAATAAAAGAATACAAACATTGTATAACACTACTAGTATATTTTACTTTTTTTTTTTTCAATGGCTATCCATAATCTGGTAAAAACATCAAAGAAGCTATTTTCCTTTTGAATATTTTTATGATATTATTATTATTTATTTATTATTATTTTTATTTATTTATTTATTTATTATTATTATTATCATTATTATTATTATTATTATTATTGTGACGCGAGCCCTCCCCTCGGGAGTCCCGTGGGCACGTTAATTTATTCGCGGGTCGGGAGAGATGTTGATTTTCCCCAGGGAAAGTATATCCCAAGCACAAACAACAAGAGTGGATTTCAAGTAAAGATAAACAGCTTTAGTAGACGCAGAAATTGATTATAAAATTTCAATAACACGTAAGAAAAGTTAAAGACATTTGAGTATCTCGTACGCATTTAAAGTCATTCATGTTACTCAGTTCAAAATTACATGTTACGTTCGCACAGAGTTCACGATTCTCTTGGAGTCCAAAACATAATAATAATAACGTCGAACTAAAACTCGACTAAAAATCTTAATAATAACGGAAACGCTACTGAATGGGTCCAGTCTTCTGTCACGGCACAAGCTTCGTTTCACATGAACAGTCCTGGAGAATGGGCTATGTATCCCCTGTAGACTCAGGCATCCCCACCTGCAGCTGCTTCACTTTACACGAAAATCCTGGAGAATGGGCTATGTATCCCCTGTAGATTCAGGCATCCCCATCTGCAGTTGCTGCATGCCCGTCGCTGAACAATTAAATCGATAATAAACCAAATGTAAGATAACTCAAATAACTCAACAAAAAGTTACACGAAGGTGTCCAGTCTTCTTGGCTACGGCACATGGCTTCATTACACACGAACAGTCTCGGAGAATAGGAAATTTCCCACCTGGAGTGGCCAACTCTCAGGATTTCCACCTGCAGTATCCGACTATCAGGAATTTCCACCTACACCTCCTCATGCATTGGATCGTCGAGATCAGTAAGAAGTTCTCCATGCCAGGCTGCTGGTCAATGAGTTAAAAAAACGCAAACAAAACCAAAGAAACTCAAAAATAACGAAAGTTAAGAGTTTTCCCAGATTACGCTAACGCATTACGTTTCCGCTCCCTCTCGTCTTCTTTTCTCTTCTTTACACGTCTTTCTCTTCTTTCGCCTTCTACCCGACTGCAACGCTTCCACTTCAACGCTTTCCTTGCGTTTTTCTTTTTCTTTCTTTTTCTTTTTCTACATTTGCGTACATTGTACGTGAGCATCTTTTACGTCTAGGTTCCGTCCCCTTGTTGTTTGTTTACATTCTAAGGTCACAAGGGTACGCTAACTATGTCAAGGCTGTATGACGTAACACAATGGCGGCCCCCATGTTCGTCTGTTCATCACGGCAGTGCGGCAATAGTATTTCAGGTAAACAACGCTAACTAGAAATAAACTTCATCACTATATAGAAAGGATCAGGGTGCGACCCGGTCACGTTACACTATTATTATTATTATTATTATTATTAATTTTATTTATTTTTTTTATTTTATTATTATTATTTTTTTTTTTTTGAAAATAAGTACATAGATTTCTAAACATACTTTGGCAATCTTAAACATCTAGCAGTGATTCTAGATCCACTGTAACTAAGTCATCTGTGTTGGGGGTACTTCCTAGTAAATTGGGGATTACAGCCATTTCAAAGAACAAAGAAAATTCACATCAATGAGGTACACCAGCCCGCTTGGCGCCAGGTGTCGCTAGTGTGAATTCAGTCCTTCCACAGTCGCCATGTTGGATATCATATACGTTGGACTGTGGCACTGGCCTTAATAAACATGCCTCAGTATTGTTGTGTACCTGAATGTCAAAGTCGGCAAGGTGGGCATAATTTTCCTGAGGATTCAGGGCTTCGTTTGAAGTGAAGGGTTGCCCATGTCAAGACACCTTCCATGTTAAAAGGACAGTTACAACTTGACCCAGGCACAGTAATTAGG